TATATATATATATATATATATATATATATATATATATTATATATATAGTATAGTATATATAGTATACTATAGTATAGTAGTATACTATATATAGTATACTATAGTATAGTATATATATCAGTATAGTAGCCCATATATATATATATAAACGCTTATCTTTTTGCTACAATTTGTAGTATATATATACTACAAATTGTAGCAAAAAGATAAGCGTTTATATATATATGGGCTACTATACTAATATATATACCTGTCTCTTATACACATCTAGATGTGTATAAGAGACAGATATATAGTATAGTATATATATTAGTATAGTAGCCCATATATATATAAACGCTTATCTTTTTGCTACAATTTGTAGTATATATATACTACAAATTGTAGCAAAAAGATAAGCGTTTATATATATATGGGCTACTATACTAATATATATACCTGTCTCTTATACACATCTAGATGTGTATAAGAGACAGATATATAGTATAGTATATATATTAGTATAGTAGCCCATATATATATAAACGCTTATCTTTTTGCTACAATTTGTAGTATATATATACTACAAATTGTAGCAAAAAGATAAGCGTTTATATATATATGGGCTACTATACTAATATATATACCTGTCTCTTATACACATCTAGATGTGTATAAGAGACAGATATATAGTATAGTATATATATTAGTATAGTAGCCCATATATATATAAACGCTTATCTTTTTGCTACAATTTGTAGTATATATATACTACAAATTGTAGCAAAAAGATAAGCGTTTATATATATATGGGCTACTATACTAATATATATACCTGTCTCTTATACACATCTAGATGTGTATAAGAGACAGATATATAGTATAGTATATATATTAGTATAGTAGCCCATATATATATAAACGCTTATCTTTTTGCTACAATTTGTAGTATATATATACTACAAATTGTAGCAAAAAGATAAGCGTTTATATATATATGGGCTACTATACTAATATATATACCTGTCTCTTATACACATCTAGATGTGTATAAGAGACAGATATATAGTATAGTATATATATTAGTATAGTAGCCCATATATATATAAACGCTTATCTTTTTGCTACAATTTGTAGTATATATATACTACAAATTGTAGCAAAAAGATAAGCGTTTCCAGACCCTGCGCCATACAATCATAAGATTAGTGCACATAATACTGCAGCTCGTGTTTCGTAAACGCGTAGCCAACGATTCATTATCAGTGGAAAAGATAAAAGAGATCGCCAGCAACGTACCTGTACCTAATTTTTCGCATATTTCTGATCGAATTAGTTAGTTACAAACAATTTTCATATTTCATGTTCCGATAACAAATGCAGGAGCAAGCGTGATCCGCTTTTCCGATGAGATCCAATGTAAAATTCGGCAAGTATCAATTGCTATATAGGCAATAATAGCGCCTCTTGTGGCGAATTCTGAAAGCTCCGTTCGGGGTCCGTACAGTGCCAATTAGTAAACGGCAAAACGCTGAAACTACTAGCCAAACAGTGGCGCCTCTTCTGACGAAATCTGGACGCTCCGTTCAGAGTCCAAACACAGCGCCAATTAGTAGCCGGCGAAACGTTGAAACTGCTAGCCAGACAATGCCGCCACTTTTGGTGAAATCTGGAAGCTCTGTTTCGGCTAGCAGTTTCAGCGTTCAGCCACTTACTAATTGGCGCTGTACGGGCCCAGAACAGAGCTTCTTAATTTCGCCACAAGAGACGCCAACTTTCATTAGGCTCCGCAGATGATTCTTGCCGGAATTTACACTGTTTCTTATGGCGATCGCGGCAAGAATCATCTGTTCTCTTTACATAGAATAATAAATAAAGTTTTTCCGCATGACATAGACGCCGGAGAGTCTCCTGAACATACCTATACCTCCAGAATATCTTTTCGATTCCAAAATAGACAGATTTCATGCTACTTTTCGCACAAATGTCGCAAAAATCAGTTATTGCTCTCAAAAAACTATTCATTTCTCTCCATATTTGTAACAATATTTGCAACAACCGAGCTTTCCGCTATCAGCAGGTACACCAACAGAAGTTCCAGCAGCAGCAACAGCAGCAGCAGCAGCAGCAACAGACCCAATCGCCAGTAACTGTACAAACGGTTCAACCGATGCCGAGGAAGTTCGGTCAGCCTATTTACGCGAACGCTCCGCCGAAACCAAGGCGATTAACGGACGGTTCGACCGAATATTCAACACCATCGCCGGATCCTGACTACCGGAAATCGCCAGTGTCGCCGGACGTTACCGTGACCAGCAAAAGCCCGATGTCCGACTACGATAGAAGTAGCATGATCTACGGGACGAGGATGAGTCAGCCGAGCCAGCAGAGCCTCAGGACCGATAAGTCGGGTTTGACTTATGGCTACACTCAGGTGCAGACTGAAAGACGCACGCCGGATACTTATGGTCGTAGCGCGGCGAAACCTAGGTCTTCTAGAGGCAACGGTGACTACGAGGAAGTTTATGGGGCCCCGCAGCTTTATCAGAGACCGGCCGGACCCGTGGGATACTCGAAGGGAGCTTCACCGGCGCCTATTCCCATCCCCCTTTACGCTCAGCAGCATCAACAGTATCAGCAGCACCAGCAGCAGATGCTGTCGCCGGCTGCCACCGCTAATAGTCAGTAAACGATTGATCTCGAATCGGATCAATTTCTTTCTTTTTCTTCGGATTAGCGATTTTGGGATCGCTCTTTCCGAGATGTCGCTTTTAGGTCGTAGAACGTTGGTGAAAAGTTGAAACCTACTGTACAGTGTACAGTACTTCAGTTTGCACTTATTTCAGTGACGATCTTAGAATATTTGTTTATATTATAATATTTATTTTTTAATAGAAATTCCGGGAAAAATTCAATAATGTTTATGAAATGAACAATATGAACGCTTCAATTAATCCTTTGCACTCGACTTGGCGACTCCGAGGCGCCATTAGAAATTGTTACGTCACGTTTCAAAATAATTTTATTAATCAAATTCGTTTATATTCAAAGAGCTGTTGAAAGCGCAAGCGGTTGCATGGGTCGCAATATTCGATCTTGTATGCACAAAATTCTCTAGATCGTATAAAATAGGGAAACCGTGGGTCGGAAGAATTATTTTAAATTTTGCGTTAATTCGGTTTCGAGAGCGCAAAGGGTTCACTTGTTTGTATTAGTTTGCCATATGTTTGCCAATGAATAGAGCGAAACATTCCAATGTTCTTTACCACGAGTAGAATGCTAATCGCTGAACGTGATCGTTTCTGTGAAACAGTGCCCATTATGAGGCAACCCCGTGCTCAACCACCGCCGCGACCTCACAGCGCCGATTTCTTGGAGTACGAAGCAACGAGAAGGCCTCAGCAACAAATGCCAACCCACTGCGACGACGCGCTGAGCCAGCAGAGGCGTCCGCAGAGGCCTAAGTCGAGTTTAGACATAGTAACCCCATCCGACGCCGTCAGCGACGGATATTTCTACTCCGAAGAACGGTAACTACAGCCGCGGCTGTTTCTTGTTCTGATAACTTACTTAGTTAGGACGCGTCTCGAGAACTATTGAACGAGAAGCGGACGAACGTTGCAATGGGACGCTATTATTTTCGGTGTGTTGGGATCAGATACGCGGCCCAGATGCGGCAGTCGGCGGTTTATCTACACCAGGCGCCGCAGCACCACCAGCAACAAAGGAACCAATCGCTTTCACGGGCGACAATGCCGGCGAAGCTAACGGGAGTCCGCGACAGGGCCGACGAAAGTAGGATAGCCACGTTGCCGGAGGCTTCGTGCTCCGGGCTGAGACGGGGACAACGCGAGCACGTCCATCAGCAGCACGTGATGTCGCATCAGTCGTTGCAGAGGCACACCGAGTGAGTCGATCATACGTCAACCCTCATTTTCATCCCCTCGAGAACCCCTTTGACGGCAGAGGAAGCATCGTTAAGATACCGCAGGGCGCCGATCTAAATCGTCTAATCCGCTAATTCTCTTATTTTCCCAACGTTCGACCGATATCTAAACAACTACTAAGCCTAGTTTCGCTGTCAGCTCGTTCTCAGACAAAGATAGTTTCCACGGTGAGATAACAAAAACGACTGAATACGATTTAAAGTAGTTTTGAGACATTGCTTCTGGCGATGACGACAAGATTCTGCGATGATTACGGTTTTCTTCGAGGTCGCTGCACTTTTTCACGAATTCATATCCACGGAAAAGTGATCTACTTCTGTGCAGTTTGATCTACTTCTGCGTAGTTTGATCTACTTCTGCGTAGTTTGATCTGCTTCTATATAATTTGATCTACTTCTGTAGAATTTGATCTACATATTTTCGTATAATTTTGTTTACTTCTGTAGAATTTGATGTATATATTTCTACATCTAGCGACGATGACAAGATTCTGCAATGGTCACGGTTTTCTTCGAGGTCACTCTATTTCTTTTCCGCGAATTAATATTCAAGTAAAAATGATCTACTTCTGTGCAGTTTGATCTACTTCTACATAGTCTGATCTACTTCTGTACAGTTTGATCCGCTTCTGTTTAATTTGATTTGCTTTGGTATAATTTGATCTGCATCTGAATAATTTGATTTACTTCTGTAGAATTTGATCTACATATTTCTACATCTAGCGATGATGACAAGATTCTGCGATGGCCACGGTTTACTTCGAGGTCACTGTACTTCTTTTTCACGAATTTATCCACGTAAAAGTGATCTACTTCTGCATAGTTTGATCTGCTTCTATATAATTTCATCTACTTCTGTGCAGTTTGATCTACTTCTACATAGTCTGATCTACTTCTGCACAGTTTGATCCGCTTCTGTTTAATTTGATCTGCTTTGGTATAATTTGACCTGCTTCTGAATAATTTGATTTACTTCTGTAGAATTTGATCTACATATTTCTACATCTAGCGATGATGACAAGATTCTGCGATGGCCACGGTTTACTTCGAGGTCACTGTACTTCTTTTTCACGAATTTATCCACGTAAAAGTGATCTACTTCTGCATAGTTTGATCTGCTTCTATATAATTTCATCTACTTCTGTGCAGTTTGATCTACTTCTACATAGTCTGATCTACTTCTGCACAGTTTGATCCGCTTCTGTTTAATTTGATCTGCTTTGGTATAATTTGACCTGCTTCTGAATAATTTGATTTACTTCTGTAGAATTTGATCTACATATTTCTACATCTAGCGATGATGACAAGATTCTGCGATGGCCACGGTTTTCTTTGAGGTCACTGTACTTCTTTTTCGCGAATTAATATCCACGTAAAAATGATCTACTACTATGCAGTTTGATCTACTTCTGCATAGTTTGATCCGCTACTGTATAATTTGATTTGTTTCTGTATAATTTGATTTACTTCTGTAGAAATTGATCAACATATTTCCGTATAATTTGCTTTGCTTCTGAAGAATTTGATCAACATATTTCCGTACAATTGTGTTTACTTCTGTACAATTTGATCTACATATTTCCGTATAATTTGAACCTCCGAATAACTTCCGAATTATTTGATCTACTTCCGCATAATATCACAAAAGAATCCACCCGAAAATTGAAATAACAGAGTCGTAGCGGAAGTTTTATTGGTCATTCGTTGTCGATGGTCGACAGAATGGCCATAAGTCGTATCAAGTATGTACAGCTTGGAACCGCGCCAGGATTCGGTTGGGCGTGGCTTTATTAAAATTCCAAGGGCGCGTCGGGGGCCGCGGGAAAAGTATCGGAGAGTCGTGTTCGTGAACTACGCGACGGTTTGTTAAGCGGAATGCTCGCCTAACTGAAAATCAGCTATCAAAGAGACGTTCGCTTTCATTCAGAAATCCGCGATCGACGAGCTCCTCGAACCGTTCGGTCGTTGCACCTCGCGTTCACTGAAACGGAAACTTTCAGAACGACTTATTGCCGACAGGAACTTCTTCGTTTTACGATCAACTTCTTCCTGTTAATCGCAATACCGGTTTATCGGCGGCCTGTTCGCCGGGATCTCCAACGTGCAATTCCATCCGTATCAATTCTATTTCGCATACTTTCCGGGTTTACTTCTTCCGGGCCAAGGTTAATCTTTTCATCGAACTTTATGCGAAGAGGTGGTTCCTAGAAAATTGGAGTCCCGAGTGTTTAGTTATAAAGAGCATTTCCCCAGGGTAAAGTTCCTGGCAATATACACAGTGTATCGAAAATTGTAGTACAATCAGCCGGGGCAAGAGAGGCGATTCTACATATAAAAATAAGTCGATAGAAAAAAATAACACTCTTTTCATTTAAGACTCTGTTCTCAAAAAAATCGGTTTGACAAAATGATCTATCGAATAGGGAGTCAAATGACGCGACTACATACTACAAGCCACGCTAATTTCACTCATCGTGCAACTCATTTTTCTTGAAAGCGAAGTCTTAAATGAGAAAATGTTACTCTTCTTTTCGACTTATGCTTGCAAGTAGAATCGCTGCCCGGCCGATAGTACCACGATTTTTGATACACTCTGTATATCGAGGTTAAGGTCGACGTCATAGGTTTCCCTTATCTACAGCATCTATTCAAACTTACGTAATCACTGCTGGCGGCCTCACAGACCGCTAACCTTTACTACGTTTTTATAAAATTGATAAGAAAACATCTATATTAATTATTCTTACTTCGCACTTCAATAATGAAGAGGTCCAAGTTCGATCGAATCAATAACAAGAGTATTAAAAACGATCCATCTTTTACAATTTTTCTTAGCATCATATTATCATTACCAGACTGCGAATTTTATGCATTTACGAGAAATATGGCTGGAAGAAATAGCAATAGAAAAAAGTTAATAAAATTACCATCTTCTCTCTTCACTTTATTAAAATTATTAAAAGAAGAAATAAATCTTCATTTCATTTCCGTTTCTTGCGATTCAGTTAACAAGTTTTTATTTTGCACAAAGACCGGCGATAGTAGTTAAGATTAATAATAAACCTCGCACTCGACGCTTTAAATAACTCGGAAACGATAAGAGACCGCCGATTAAGTCGAAAATCAAAGTTACCGAGGATCATGTCCTTGACCTCACGTGTCAAAGTCCTCGTTAACACATTGCGGACGGCTCACGAGATATCTCGTTTTTAGCAAATTGAACGTTGCGGACGGGTCACGAGATATCTCGTTTTCATGTTTTTTTTATTTAATCGGCAACAAGCAACCAGCCGCAAATATTTCTGTTACGTAACCATGGTAACGAAGCCTCCCGCGTTCCTAAGTAATTTTAGCGAAACAAATGAATCATTCCAAGCATGTAGAAATGATCAGTCATTATAGCCACTCTAAATCAATATTCAAATTTCTATAATAAATAATAGTTAAAATGTAAAAAATCTTATATAATAAACAGATATATAAACTATGTATATATAGTATTATTTAAGAATACTAAATGCAAATTAGAAATGTGCGTATCCGCTTCCTGTTACTTGCCAAGCATGTTTTTGGAGCGTTCGAAAATGTGCGGTCTTTGAGGGCGTGTTGAACGCGCAGAGCCCCGTCCGCAATGTGTTAAGATGCCCCAGTTAGTCAAAGAATAGTTCTTAGTTAAAGAATCGTAGAGATTTGAGAGGATGCGAGACGCGAGAAAGCGCTCCCGATCCGAAGGGTAGCGACGAAGGGTCGATTGATGGTATCAAGAGGTTTGTTTCGGGGAGCAGGGTGAACAGCAGCGAGGCGAAGCTGAGGAGGTCCTTGCGCGAGAAGAGCTACGAGCCGAGTAGCCGGGAGTTGGTGAATCACGTCGAGGACGGGACGGTGCCGCGAAGAATTCCACGGGAGTACGAAGGGTGGGGCAGGCCGGCAAGTCACGCGAGTCACACGAGTCACACGAGTCAGGGGACTCACGTGGCTCAGACGTGTCACGCGCCTCGCGCCGCTGCCCGCCGATGGAACGACCAGCAACAGTTCTGCAGGTCCGCGTCCGCGAGACTTCCGAGGACCCGGCACCCTGCTGCCCTCGACCAGGACGAAGACGACTACGCCGAACGATCCTCCGAGCAGGACTCGAGAGACGGTGAACGCAAGATCCAGCAGGTGAGTCCGGTTCGTTCTATTTGTTTTGTCCGTACGTTCGGTTAGTCGCCTAACGTACATGCGCGACCGAACTATTGTACGCTCGATTCGCGCTTCCTACGGCGAATTAATGACGTGGAAGGGTCTCTAGTAGTCTTAGAGAACTTTATTTTTTGTGTTGTACTCTCTGCGAGCGCTGGTGGAAGAATGCTCTTCCAACGCTGGAAAGTCGTGGAAGAGCACCCGTGGATGGAGGTAGATTGTTTATTATTGGTCAAGGCACGAATCACCCCTTGGAGGGGGGTGTCTGCCTTGACCCTTGTTGGGGCCTGAGAGGGTTTCCCCAATGGTGGGACCTTTTTATGGCCCTTGTCTCTGGACGCAACACTATTTCGTCCTGTTTCTACAGCAGATGTCCCAATTACTGCGACCTTAAGCCCGCCGCGTATCTTTAGTCAATTATTTCAGAAGTTGTACAACCTAAAATTCGTTCCAATTCGCAGCATAATAAAGCTTAAGATCACTTTCGTCGTAGAAACTATTCGATAGGAATAAATTGTCGCGTCTGGCCATGACATGGCAATTCTACTTCATGTCACAGACGCAAAATGGCGCGAAACACGCGATCTTGTGGCATCTTCCAGCTGGTTTCTCCCGCAAACGCAACCTTAAATGAACGAATGTTGTTCTTTTTTCCGACTTGTTTTTGCATGGAGACTGTCTCTTATGTCGGTCGTGCCACCAGTTGCTGACCACGCTGTATTTTAAGTTGGTTCTAGAAGGCCAACGTAAGACTTCTTGTTGGACTTCATGATCAGCTAATGTCTCGCAGCATAATATTATTATTAATATATATAATATCTAAATAATAATAATAATATTATCTATAATATTATTATTAATATATATAATATCTAAATAATAATAATAATATTATCTATAATATTATTATCCAGATAGAATGTTTACGAGAAGAATTAGGCCTTCTCTGCAATTTTCTCCGAGAAAATCTAGACACTGTTTCGCATCGATATTTCGCACACGTGTTTCCCCATCGTTCAGAATATACAATAGATTTTCGTCAAACCAAGATGCCTGGAACTGAACACCGTAAAGAACGTTAAATCGCTTTGATGTCTCGGAAATAATTCAGTGGCGTAGCTCGATTGTCAGCGATGGAATCGCTGGTTGCCCTGACGGATGTTGTCGAGCAAGGTCATCGAGTTGTCCCTTCCAGTTAAGAAAGTTGTCTCGTTAAGTTAATTGACTCGCGGACTGGCGAACTCCGGGGCGACCGGGTTAATTGAAATTAGTGGATAGATAAGCGGCCGACATAGATTTATTAGCCTGTTTCCTGAGGTGGCGGCGGTACAATGGCGCCGTTACGAAACCGCCGCCGAAAGAATTCCTGATCTAATAGCTCCACGCGAATGTTTACACCGAACCTCTTAACCTCCGCGGAGTACCCCGTGCTCGCCAAATTGAATGCTCTGCGTGATGAATGTCCGCGCTCGATCTTTTCGGAAACGAAAAACGACGGCGCGAAATAGAAAATTGTACTTCATATTTCGGATTAAGTTTTTTAATGCGGTGATCGTTTGCTTTTTCATCGCCGTTCGCGAGAGTTCGGCGAAAAGTGATCTGATTACTGATTAACGATTATGATTATGGCGAAATCATGTTCATTGTTAATGATTACGATTACTAAATAATCGAGTAATCGTGATTAATGAATAACTAAATTAATCAAGTAATCATGATTAATGAATAACTTAAACAATCGCAGCGAATATAAACGTTGATCATGATCAACATAGTAATCGTTAATCATGTAATGATTACTTTCTTCGATTATGTGTTATATTATCTGTTTTATATTAATATATAAAAGTAACAATAAGACATTTATTCTGATTTTTAGCAAGTGTTATTGTAATATTTGCCATAAGTAACATATTACAATAACACTCGTTAAAAATCAGAATAAATGTCTTATTGTTACTTTTATAAATTAATATAAAACAGATGATATAACGTTATGTATAGTAATATAAAATTATGTAAAATAAAATAAAAATTATGTATAGTACATGCAAATTGTATAAAGACTGTACAAAATTATTATCAACACTAGATTTACGGAACCCGTCAAAATGACGGGTCACTAATTTTTTAATTTACGATTATTCGTATCGTAAAGATACGTTTATGAGTTATTTATGCAATTTATATTTGCCATAAGTAACATATGAATAAAGTACCAGTAACATAACGATAGTAAGACATAACAAAGTAAAGTAACATATAAGTAACGTATAAACTTTACGATACGAATAATCGTAAATTAAACAATTAGTGACCCGTCATTTTGACGGGTTCCGTAAATCTAGTGTTAACAATAATTTTGCACAGTCTTTAGACAATTTGCATGCACTATACATAATTCGTCCTGACACAATAGCAAGTGATGAGAACGGCTAAATTAATCATTAATCCGCGATCACAGTGTACTGATTAACGATTGCAGATTGCCAAATGTAATCATGCCTACCGATCTATTCCAGTTACGATCGATTGGTTAATGATTATGTTCATGTTAACGATTATGTTTCGTAATCAGTTACAAAATCGACCACAGAATAACGCTTTGCAACCGTCGAAGCCTGCCGATCACGAGACGGTGGATGAACTCAACGATAAAATATTCGGACCGCGGATTTCGGAATTTACCCAGCGGCAGAGGTAACAGGATGTCCCGGGATCGCGTTACCGGTTCACGTAGCAATCGGCGAGGTTACGATGAGATGACTCACGAGTCGTTCGCTCGCTTTCCTCGCGTGATCCCGAGCCGTGTCCGACCGCTGACGGACAGAACAATTCCGTAGGCCTCGCAGCCAAAACCGATGATTCATCCTTAGCCGCGTACAACCTGCGCCTGCTGTACCTGTGCCTGCATTTTAAGTCGCCTCCACCGCGTGCCGTCCCGTAACAACGCTTTCACCGCGGTTAGTTCGATCATCCCTGTCGTCCTGACTAATCCACCTAATCCTTTATGGATCATAACGCCCCGAATAGACGATCTTCTTTGCGCATCGCGCGTTACAGGCTGAGCGAGATTAATGGATCAGGGTTCCATCGTTAAAAATTGTTTTCGATAGATAAGAGACCGACGCGGGGATTAATGTTATCAGAAATCATTTTAGAAAGATTAGGCTTTATGTGGATAGACATTTTCGCGATATATTCGTTTCGTTGATTAAATGATCACTTCGGTGAAATTGGTCCGGAACGATATTTAATGTTGAAGATCTCCATCGGGACCGGTGATATAGAATGTGCAATTAAACCGGGTTCGATTATTGATGTCCTTCTGCAATAATGGCGAATTTGCATAAGACTTCGGCAGTCCGATAATTATTACACATTTATTAGGACCAGCAAAACTGTTACACGGGATTGAACAAACGGATTCGGATATTTGCAGTACATTAGAATTTATGAAATTGTAATGAGAGCATTATTGGAACACGGTACATGTTAATGAGCATTTGTTCCGGCGATGTGCGAATTTTCGTTTTCGAGCGCGCACATTAGAATGTGCCATTAAATGGGCGCGATTTTAGAACGGACATGTTACGATACAGATTTAATTGCGCCAAATAAACGCATGAAATGACGCAATAGAGGATCATTTCGCCGACGATTATGCAACTGCTCTCAATTATTCAATGAACCGGCTACTAAAGAGATATATTATGGTAGCACGAAGACCTTTCCTTTCTTGTGTAAGAATTCGTTCGAACAAGATTTTTATTTGAACGAGAACTTATTCGTGCAGCAGTTCGTATGGAAAATAATCGATTTTTAAAAAAATAATACATTTTATAATTTTATATTAGCTTAAAATAGTAGTTGAAATTGTACCGAATTACACTGAATATATCCGTATAAATATATTCTGACAAAATCACGTGAAAACGAAAACAGTCGACAATCATTTGCGTTATTATCAAAGTAATTGTACAACCTTGATTCGGATAAGTTATTTGAATAAAGAATTATTCGAATAATAAAGTAAAGATATAGAAAATAGAGTAAGAATTATTCTTATATATATAATATATTATATATATACTGTCTCTTATACACATCTAGATGTGTATAAGAGACAGTATATATATAATATATTATATATATACTGTCTCTTATACACATCTAGATGTGTATAAGAGACAGTATATATATAATATATTATATATATACTGTCTCTTATACACATCTAGATGTGTATAAGAGACAGTATATATATAATATATTATATATATACTGTCTCTTATACACATCTAGATGTGTATAAGAGACAGTATATATATAATATATTATATATATAATAAATTATTATAATAAATATATTATATATATTATATTATATTATATTATATTATATTATATTATATATAATATATTCTTATTATATAATATAAGAATAGAAGTAAAGAATTATTCGAATAATAAAGAATAATTCGAACGAATAGATAAAATAACTTACAACGAACAAGTTTAAATAATAATAACTTATTCGAATCCTTATTCGAATAAAATATTCGACTATAAAAAAAGAACGCATTCGGATAATTATCTTGGGTAAAGATTTATTCGATTTATTTATTGCCCTCTGTTGGAGAGCACAGGGAATGTAAAGATGTGACGTTGCAGCGCGAGGAGTCGATGAAGCGGCTGCTGGAGTGGAAGCAGCGGATGCTGCAGTCGCCCCTAACCCGGAAACCATCCGCCTCTGCGACCAGAGGCAGGGCACAGAACGAGTTGTCGAGCTACTACAAGCAACAGGCGCTGCTGGAGCTTGCCGCCCACGAGGCGTCGGTCGCGGAGGGCCGTCACTCGAGGCGCCGGGACGACGGTCACCGTCCTCACGTACGCAGCAAGAGCACCGACGGAAGGCGCACCGTCGCGAACGTTTCTCGGTACAACAGCTACTCCAGCGACGACGAAGGTAGGGACGACTCGCCTGAACTTTTTATCTGAGTTTTGTCGCTTCGCCCCAGCCGTTCGTGGGTCTCCTTCACGGAAACAAAAACTGCTCTTCTACAACCTGTATCTAGCACTTTCGAATCCGCGAGGATCGCTCTCAATACGGTCGCCGTTGCTTCAAACGGGTCGCCTCGCCTCGGCGAGGCCGAGCTCTTCAAGATCGCGACGCGTTACTTCGGCACGTTCTCCGGCTGCCACGCGTGCCACTCGTGGCTGGCGAGATCCTTGTGCCAGACGCACGCCGACTTTCGTCGCGTTGTTCGCTTCTCCTTCGAAATTTCAAGCTTCCTCAGAATCGTACGAGTTCAATTAGCTTCTCGCGGGCAGACGGAAACTGAGTTGATAGAAGAGCGTGCCGAGTCGATCATTTCCAAAAAGTGCTCGGTTATTTCTTTTTTTCGTTAATAGTTCCAAACAGAGTTGTGCAGAATTAAATTTGGATCGATCGAGGAATTATGATTACGATGTAATCCGATTACATCATAATTCAATCATATTTTAATTCGCAATGCAGATCTCCATTTAATTAAATTACGATGTAACTCGTAATTGTGGCGTGTGGTTGAATTAAAATCACGAATTACGATGTAATCGAATTGAGATATAAATATAATTGAAATATAAATATAATCGGAAAAATTATAATAAATCAATAGGTAATAAGAGAAGAATTGCATTTCAATCACATCGTATGTTAATTACATTGTATTTCAGTTACACCGTGTTTCAATTGCACATTGTGTATTTGAATTACACTCGTAATTAAAATAATTAGCAGTTGAATTAACTGAAAGGTTTGAACTATACAATTGAATGACAACGTAATCGAATTAGCACAACTCTGGTTCGAAGAAAAATTCGCTTGTCGAGTCGCGAGTAAAATTGCTCCGAGGCGTTCATAATCTTCCGTTTGCTAAATCGATTTTCTCGGATACCGGACGCGATAATTGAAAGCCGACGGAGTCCCACGATCGCGCTGCACCCGCGAGTTAAGGGACTCGTAGTAGCTAGCTGTACTAATTCATGCGTAACATCGCTCTAACCCGACGAACGTATCTCGCGAACGAGACGAAACGAAACGAAACGAAACGAGCCGAGAGAACGAGATGCTTTTCTGCATTGCACGAGACTGCCTCGTTCGAGTTCGAGTTCGTGAAACGCGGCAAAAAAAGGAGAACCGTTTGCCTTGCGCATGACACCGAACATCATAAATCATGTAAAGAGCTGCGCCCAAAAATAATATCTAATCAATCGTTGCGTGCTCGAACGCCTTCCGGAGGCGCGAGATTTTTTTGTGCATCGAGAACGCCCTCGCATCCGATTGTTATTTGTTAAACTATAACAACGTGCTCGTCGACTAACACGATCTACGCGGCCTGACGAGAAAGGAAGAAAAGATCAACTGCGATCGGCTGTCTCTCTGTCTGTATCTCTCTCTCTCTCTCTCTCTCTCTCTCCCTTTCTCGATCGAGATCCAGCGACCTCCGAATTGTCTCTGCTCTTATACAACTGCTCTGCTCTTCCTGGCTGTCTTTCTACTCTCTATCGCGACAGTAATCGGCTCTCTCGTCGAGGGACAGTGAACGAGTCGATGTAGATACAATTATTGGTGGACACGGAAGGTGGCAGGAACACATAGAGACTATCGAAATGTTTATAATATATCTGTACCGCATACGTGTATGTGTACATACGCGAGTAAACGAGAGATGGCGGGGAAAGAATGACACGTTCTCTCCGTTGTTGGGGGCTCCTTCTCTTTGCTGCTGTTGGGTCTGGTGCTGTGACTGGTGGATGGGAATTAATGGATTAACACCCTCGAAAATCGGGATACTTAACCGTCGAGAACGACCGAAAACCGTCCGTTACGATCTAACACCCGTGTCGTTTCTCGGATAGTTCTACTTAATGCGATTTGTGGGTCCGCATGGCATGCCCAGGAGTATGTTCACTAACATTGCCGCCTTGTGCTCGTCATTCACCGCGTACGCTGCCGAGCGGATCAAGGATCGTTGTGGGATCGATTGTGGAAGTTCTTTTCGATCAAAGAATATCTCTAGCCTGTCAAAGAATCTTTCGCGACGTTTGTTTTCATGACTTTTGTATCCTCTTTTCATTAAAACTGCGTTTTCATTAGGCAATTGGTAGCAACGTTTGTTTTACTACTTCTTTTGTAGCAGCTACAAAAAACGATTAGGTCTTTCAACCAGGGATAGTCAAACGGGTTAACTCTGGTCGAACGATCAGGAATTGTTTTAATTTTGTCGATACTGAATCCTTGAAAAAATGATAAAACCAGTTTTACTCCGAGGGAACAAGACACCGTTGCAAAGTTAATTATAATACAGTGGATCATAATAGACATCGCCGTGAAAGGGTTAGTCGTCGCAGTCGCCCAAAATTGCTTAAACTAAACAACATTAATAAATATTAAATATTATATATAAAATTTGAAAGCAAATTTATTTTATTCATGAATCAATCCGAGCTGTAACGACACGAACTTAATTCACCAATTGTTCAAATCTCTAACACTTATTTTTTGCTGAAAACGCGCATAGCGATAAATTTCCGATCCGATCATGCTCGCAACGATCCTGGTAGAGCTCGGCGTAAGCTTGGAGTGCGCCGAGAGGGTTGGGTGGACTGTACTTAATCGTGACACGTGAGTAACGATCGTCCTCGTGTGTTTGTTTTGTAACGGACGAATCAGAGCTGGGCGATGTCCAGAGGAAACGCACGCGCAGACCCTCGCATGCAGGAAGGAGCCCCCGGCAGGTGGGAGACGGTCGTTCATCGGTGCTCGCGGGCGAAGAGGGCGTGTCGGGGGCGGGCCGACAGACGATGAGCGCTCCTCGAGGCCCGGCCGACAGGAAACCGAGCCCCTCCCAGTTCCCGAATCTGGGCGGGATTCCGCCCGACGCCGGCTACGAGGAGGTCAACTTCCCCTCCGCTCAAAGGGCGGAGCGATCCTGCCCTACCGAGAGATCGAGAAATCCAGGAGGACTAATGAACATGGACCAGGAACTCGAGACCTCGTTCGACGACGGATTGAAGAAGAGACCGTCCGGAATCTTGAAGACGTCGACTGCCTACGGTACCGACGAGATCACGAAGAAAACCGTGGTGCCGAACACGGGATACGCGACCGAGTCTTGGCCCTCGCAGAAGACGGTCCAGTGGATCACGAAGAGGGAGAGCGGACTGGAAGACTGGGACTCGAACATCGACGAGAGCAAGGTGATCAAGGAGTTCTCCTATCAATACATCAGGCCCAGAGAAGGGGCGGAGTCGAGGGAGGCGGAATGTAGGTGGATGGAGTCGCGGGAGGCGGAACCACCGGAGCCTAGGAACCTGGTGCAGTGCAGAATCAGATCGTTTGAATTGAGCATGGATAGCTCAACGCCGGTAAAGGAAGTGCTGGCCATGCAGGAGCCACTGAAGGTGTCTCCGTTGCAAACCACGGAAGCATTTGTATCGAGGCTAGACTCTGGGAAGAAGCATCCTTCGAGCATCCGAAACTTTGCTCTGGGAGAGGCGGAGCCTCCGGAGTCGAAAGGGCGTGGCGTCAGGGACGGCCACGCCAAGCAGGCGTCCACCGACAGCAACAAGTCGGTGAAGGACCTGCTGGCCGACTTTGAGAGGAAGTCTCAGCAGGTTCAGAGGCAGGAGTATAATAGGCGGCAGGAGGTGAAGCATCGGGGAGTGTTCAGCGACTCGGAGGCGTTGCTGTATGACACCGGCAGCGATCTCGACCAACGAGACAAGAGCGAGGAAGGGGAGGTGCGTGCCGAGGAGGCGGAGCTCGAGGTGGATCAGGTAGTACCCGTGGTTGTAGACGAAGACAAGTTTTACTGCGATGGGGTGAAGAAGAAGGGGGACGCCTCGTTTCGAAGAAAGAAGAGACCCGTATCGAGGGAAAGCATCACGTCCCAAGACGAGCGAGCCAGGTCTCCCGAAGACCTGGAGGCGGAGCCGAACTTCAGTTGCAATAGATTGAGCGTCACAGAATCCTTGCTCACCCATGGTGATCAGTTTTCTGGAGAGAGTGGTGAGGACAGTTCAGAAATGAAGCAGGAGGACATCTGCCCCGAAGAGCATTATCTGCCTATGTCGCCTAGGAAGTCTATCCTGGACCCCAACTGCGACGATCGACCGAACCCGAAGATGATGGAGAGTCTGTTCGCTAATCTAGGCCACGAGGAGAGCTCTTACGTAGAAATGGCGCAAAATGGCATCGCTAGGTCACTGTTAGCGCCGAATGATGACAATAGGAAACTGGACTCTGGCGAATATTCGACTTTGGACACGCCCCATTACGAGTTCGTCTGCGTGTCCGACAGCAAAATGGAGCCGGTCTACATGGAGGTCAGTCAGTTATCGGAGAAGGACGAGCAAGAAGGCAGCAATGTGTCCCTGAAAAAGAGGACGTCTCACGAGGACTCTATGCACTCAAGATCAGACCTGCCAGACATTCTAACCACTCTAAAGACGGATAGCTCCGATGCTGACGACGAGTCGTCGAAAGATTTGGACTCCATCGATGCACCTAGGCATCCTAGATTCAGCCTGTCCGACACCTTCAGGCCGGCCTCATACTATCTGGGTGCCAGTCGAACGATGATTGCGGAGCTGCACGATTCTTCCGACAGCGAGCTGGTGTCTCCGCCTCCAATCCCCACTTCTCCACCTCCGCTGGATGATTTAGATTCTCTGGACCTGCAGGAGACGATGGAGATAAAGAAAATATCCTCGCAAGTGAAAAAGGATAGTGGCTCGAACAGGGACTCCCCTAAGTCATGGAACAAGCCGATGGGCCAGGTGGAGACCCATAGGAGTCCTTCAAGGTTTTCTGACGCCACAATTAGTTCCACGTTTAGAGACAGTCGAATATCCTTGGAGAGCGCGTCAGGTAGCGACTCCGTCGATTTGAGAACTCCTGAAGAGGAAGCTAGACACAGGCAGCTAAAGACCAGGCCTGTCAGCGAAGTCTGCGAGGTCCTGGACAGCTTGGACGAACTGGAATCGCTGGGCAGCCGATTCGATGGGGCCAGCATCGACCTGGACCAATACCTGGAGGAGCTCCAAGCCCGCGACGCCTTCAACGTGGATCTGTACGCGAAGGATCTCAGCTACAACAGCATCTACGGCTTCAACGAGAACATGATGGTGGTGGACAAGCTCCAGAAGACTACCTGTCACGACCTCACAAGACAATCAAACCTAGGCAGCCTCGACCAATCGTTGCGCTACGACACTAGCAAGATGGGCTCTGCCAGCAGCCTACCTTCTATGAGAGTCTGCGACGTCCCGCCCTCCCATCAACACTCGCAGTCGTTCACAGGGGACGCCCACTACGAGAACATCACAAGCTTCTCCCCGCTGAGGATATCTCCAGCTATTCGGTCCGATAATGAACAAGTCAGAGACAGGTTGCACAGAACTTCCCAGAACAACCTTATGTCGGCGTCGCACAGCAGGGACTCCAGCTACTCTGTGGGCGTGGCTTCGATCTCCACCTCCATGGCCTGCCAGCGACCTGCCAGCGCACAATCCTCAAGCATGCACTCGCCCACGGGTGTCAACCTGCTGGCCAACGTCCTGCGAACAGCCAGTCCCTTCTCGGATCGCTTCCAGAGCCACTCGAGGTCTGCCAGTCAAGACTCCGCTCGTTATTCCATGATCTCGAACCACAGGTCCTCGTCTAGCCAGGACTCCAGCCATTACCCCGTTTCCGCGGCCACGCCCAAGCCTAACCCCGCCCCCCAGTCCTACCTACCAAGCGAAACGCGTGCTCAAAACGAATCCGGAGCTCCCTACTACTACTCCGACCTTCAGGCCAGTGCCAGTGCCGCCGACATAGAGGCTGCCAAGCCGATAGGCCACACTTCTCGTCTTCCTCAGCTAAATAATCAACGCGACGACGCAGCTACTGCCTTGAACAAGCGCAACGACATCGGACGCATCGTCAACCCCATCGCAAGACAGTTGCCTAGGCAGATCCAGGTGGAGGATATCGACGAAGCCCGCCGCATAGCTGCCGAGCTTCGAAAGACGACCTGCCAGCTGCTGGCGGAGAACAAGGTGGACTTGGTGGACAAGAAGAATTTCTACGAAGCGGACACCTTGAGGAGGGTGAAGTCGACCGATCCTCTGCCCGATATATCCTCTCCGGAGATCAACACCAGAAACCTGTATCCTCACGGACTCAGAGACAAATCGAGCGATCAGAACAATAGGGAGACTTACGAGCTGGCGCAAAGTTCGCATAGAAGGTCGAGATCGCTGGAAGGTCTGCTGGACGACGTTGGCCTGCAGAACCTGGTAGAGCAGAGGAACAGGAGCAACAGGGTAGCGACTGTGCAGCCGACGCAGATCGAGGAGAGACAGCAGAGCGTCAGCAATATAGCCTCCGGTAGCAACTTCAGCGCGGAGGATCCTTGGGAACAGGATTCCTTGTGGCGAGAGAGCCTGAGACGCGTGAGCCTGAGGAATGCCAGGTCCTTGGACAACCTGGACAGCCCGCCCAGACCAACCGCATCCTCTTCCGACGCTAAAGGCAGGAACAAAGTCACCCGGGGCGCCACCTACGTGAACGATAGCGTGATCAGGCGGGAGATCCTCTCGGAGGAGAGCTGCGATAGGCCCCGGGTGAAGCGGAGGGCCAACAAGGAGGACGCGGTGGACGACTTGACCTACGAGAGCCTGTCCATGGATAGGATCCACGCCGGCGGCTACGTCTGGGACCCTCAGAACGAGGCCTACAGGAAAGCCAGCGTCGAGGATGCGAATCATTTTTTAGAGGAGGGCAACCTTCCCCCGGGCCGGCCGAGCTCGGGGGCGGGGCCAGCGTCGGGCTCCGCCTCCGGGCCGTTCGAGCTCGACCGCGAGAAGCTACGCCAGTGGGACCTGTTGTCGAGCGCCTGCTTGCTCCAGGAACAGCAGCGCGGCTCGATGGCGGACTCGGGGCGAGGGTTGCCTGCCACCCCGGCGGCCCAAGAACGACCTGGAGGCGTTCTAGGTCTACGGAACAGCGGTCGCGCGACGACTGGTGGCGACACCATCGCCGGGAGCATCCTGCCGGCTGCTGGCACGATCGCGGAGAAGGCCGCGGCGATCGACAGCACCGGCATCACCGAGGCGATCAAGAGGCAGGAGCTGATCGAGACCAAGCAGGCTTGTAACAGGGCTACAGGTGAGTGGCTCCTCAAGACCGGTGGTGTGTTCAGGAACTGACTGACTGGCCGTGTTCCAAAACGTCCACTATGCCCAGCTGAGATCCTATGGATGATGCTCCGAGTCTCACGATCGATGGACTCGCTTGCACTACCAAATGTACCTGCGTTTCGTTTACGGACGGCCTGTGTGTTGTTCTGTGTTCTATTATCTGGACGATTGCTGCGTGGATTGTTCGTGGATGAACTTTGATCGACCCTTTCGTTGACGATGCTAAAAACGCCGGGGAACCGGTCCGAGCGGCTGTAGTTCGGTTCGATTTCTCCCCCTAAAGACTACGAGCTCGACCCTTGTCGTTCCAACGCCTGGAATTCGCTACGACGTTCGATAATGTTTGTCCAGATTTCGTGATCTCGAATATGTAAATCGATTGGATACCCATAGCAATTCGATTATTTTGTCAAGAAGCGTGTGTAACAAAGGGGATCAAAGTATCGACGGTTTATAAATATGTAAATTAAAGACCACGCCGAAACGGTTCGTCGTGGCAACGCAGAATATTCGAGAAGTCTCGTTTGTAAGAAGTGCGGCAACTTCTGTGGCTACGACTGCATCGTTGCACTCGGCGCACTGGCTGGAGGAAGCGTAACAAGACGTCTTCGGTTATCTACGTGTGCTAACATTGTACTCGTTACACCGAGCATCTTCGATTCTCGTACACCAGCGTGCAAAACTTTTTCAAACCTTTCGCATCACTTTGCTCTCTCCCTTTTTCTCTCCCTCTCTCTTTCTCTCTCTCTCTTTCTTTTTTCTTACAAGATTTTGTACATTCACCGACAGACTGTAATCGTTGGACAGCGGATATTTATGCAAAATAAAAATTGTTTGCTCCGATTACAAGCTACAGGAGCCACATAGACATTGATTTTGTTCTTTACTCGTTTCAATGAGCTATTCTTTTACTGTTCGATTCTTTTAATGTTTTCATTGTTTCGTATTCGATCGACTTGTTTCTTTCATGAACGCATAAAATCCACTGTCTAGTAATCATTAACGATCCTTATAAGTAGATCAGAATAGTCATTCTATCAATAACAGTTCGGACAATCCCCACGAATCTGTCACGGCACGGTGCTTCCGGCAAAAAAGTGACAAGATCGGAGAGCGTACAGCAGAATCTTTTACGAGGTGTACGACATCGACGGTGACTCACCGCACGCAAGTTTCTCCGTATCGAATCCTGCAAAAAAAGAAAAGAAACAATCTAGACTACCGTTAACACCTTTTTTGGAATTTCGTCCAGCTAGTGCCGTACGGAACACTGTGCGTCGTTCCGGAAGAATGCAGTCGTAGATTCCGGATGCGACGCAGACCGCGTTCCAACTTGCATATCGCGTCCGCGGTTCTCTTTCCGATGATCTCTGTGCCCCCGTCTCGCTGTATTGCCACTCCATCGATCGCGATCACGTCGAAGAGAGCGATCGTTGCGGCGAACTCTTAATCGCTCGCCTCGAACAGCGAAACCCGGAGCTTCGAACAGCGCCGACCTAATTAGTGCGAGTTGGAACACGGCCTGACAGATGAGAGTGTTACGTGANGATCGATGGACTCGCTTGCACTACCAAATGTACCTGCGTTTCGTTTACGGACGGCCTGTGTGTTGTTCTGTGTTCTATTATCTGGACGATTGCTGCGTGGATTGTTCGTGGATGAACTTTGATCGACCCTTTCGTTGACGATGCTAAAAACGCCGGGGAACCGGTCCGAGCGGCTGTAGTTCGGTTCGATTTCTCCCCCTAAAGACTACGAGCTCGACCCTTGTCGTTCCAACGCCTGGAATTCGCTACGACGTTCGATAATGTTTGTCCAGATTTCGTGATCTCGAATATGTAAATCGATTGGATACCCATAGCAATTCGATTATTTTGTCAAGAAGCGTGTGTAACAAAGGGGATCAAAGTATCGACGGTTTATAAATATGTAAATTAAAGACCACGCCGAAACGGTTCGTCGTGGCAACGCAGAATATTCGAGAAGTCTCGTTTGTAAGAAGTGCGGCAACTTCTGTGGCTACGACTGCATCGTTGCACTCGGCGCACTGGCTGGAGGAAGCGTAACAAGACGTCTTCGGTTATCTACGTGTGCTAACATTGTACTCGTTACACCGAGCATCTTCGATTCTCGTACACCAGCGTGCAAAACTTTTTCAAACCTTTCGCATCACTTTGCTCTCTCCCTTTTTCTCTCCCTCTCTCTTTCTCTCTCTCTCTTTCTTTTTTCTTACAAGATTTTGTACATTCACCGACAGACTGTAATCGTTGGACAGCGGATATTTATGCAAAATAAAAATTGTTTGCTCCGATTACAAGCTACAGGAGCCACATAGACATTGATTTTGTTCTTTACTCGTTTCAATGAGCTATTCTTTTACTGTTCGATTCTTTTAATGTTTTCATTGTTTCGTATTCGATCGACTTGTTTCTTTCATGAACGCATAAAATCCACTGTCTAGTAATCATTAACGATCCTTATAAGTAGATCAGAATAGTCATTCTATCAATAACAGTTCGGACAATCCCCACGAATCTGTCACGGCACGGTGCTTCCGGCAAAAAAGTGACAAGATCGGAGAGCGTACAGCAGAATCTTTTACGAGGTGTACGACATCGACGGTGACTCACCGCACGCAAGTTTCTCCGTATCGAATCCTGCAAAAAAAGAAAAGAAACAATCTAGACTACCGTTAACACCTTTTTTGGAATTTCGTCCAGCTAGTGCCGTACGGAACACTGTGCGTCGTTCCGGAAGAATGCAGTCGTAGATTCCGGATGCGACGCAGACCGCGTTCCAACTTGCATATCGCGTCCGCGGTTCTCTTTCCGATGATCTCTGTGCCCCCGTCTCGCTGTATTGCCACTCCATCGATCGCGATCACGTCGAAGAGAGCGATCGTTGCGGCGAACTCTTAATCGCTCGCCTCGAACAGCGAAACCCGGAGCTTCGAACAGCGCCGACCTAATTAGTGCGAGTTGGAACACGGCCTGACAGATGAGAGTGTTACGTGAGAGAGAGAGAGAGAGAGAGAGAGAGCTGGTGCTGATACGTGTGCGAATGGCTCTCGTTAGGGCCTATTGTCAGGGAAAGGGAGCAGACCGAGCTTGTTATCGGACGGACAGCGTCCTGGCCGCGGATACCGGATCATAATACTCGCATGATCGGTAGATCGTCGCGGCCGGTCGTTCGTTAACGCTAGATTTACCGACCGGTGTACTTTTACCGATTTCTGGATAGCACGTACTGCCTGAAATATTAGGTCCTCCCGAGAACGTTCCGCGCTTTTGCAAGATGAATGCGTTTACGGAAACGTGATCGCAATCGTTAATCCACTGAAATTGTACACCGTTCGCGAAGGTACGTTCCGCGTTGTCGAAGGTGATGCGATAGCGTGATCGAATGTACACTCTGTAAAATGTATTTATACAGGAGGCGGATCTGTACGAGGTGCCGTAACTCAGTCGTGTTAACCATGTCACTGACAGAGTCGCGCAATGTTTGCCAATTTATCGGTGAAATTTCTTTTTCTACGTCATTCTTGATCATTTTCGCCGCGCGAAACGTACAGTTCGATGATACGGTGATACTTTCGACTCGCACACTCGTTCGCAACGTTTCATTCGTCCAAATTGTATATAGAACTTGACGTTAGTCGCAGACTTCGTGCAACAATTTTCATACCGAAATTTAATCTTGAAACGTGCGCGATCGAACGTGCGAGTAAATCTCGACGCTTGGATGCAGTGCTATCGCATCGTATACATGTAGATCAAGTAGAAAATTCTCCTCTGAGGATGTGCGATTATGTTTCCGTACCTCGTCTCCCAAAAGTGGGATAAAGCGTTGCTCGCGGATCGACCTAATGTCGAAAGTCGGGAAGTCAAGAGATCAGAAGTTAGCCGGAAGACTTCGTCGACTACGCGAAAATTAGGGGAAAGCATATTTAAATCATATACGGGATCGGTGTTGCCACTATCATTCTCGCGGATTCATTTTTTCTACGTAACATTAAGGTCTCCGAGCGTGCGTCTGTGTGTATATATAAAGCAAATCAGTAAGCAATATTTCTCTCAGATATCCAGTTTAACTTCTAAGCGTGTGCCTGGTGGCGACGAAGAAAGCGTTTTTCTTTTTGTAAGAATATTGTTTCTCATACTTTGTACACGCCCGCGCGGCCGATCCAAAACGCCGATCACGTTCCGACCGGTACGAGAATTCGCGGGGACGTTATAACGGGGATCAGCGGACTCCGTAAAATTTCACGGGAACGATTCACGGTTCCCCGGGTGCCCCGAAAATCCGAGCAGACCGCGATAATTTTCGACCCCGAGGCCTCTCTCCCCCCCGATAAGCCCGAATTTATCCGCGGGACTACCGATACACCGCCCACGGCCGCGCTTTATCTTCTTCGGGGCTGTGGATTAGATTCTCGCGTCACGCGCGGATCCGGATCGAGGTATCGATCGGCGGGAAACTTCACGCTCGGATCGGCCGACAACTGTCAAATAAATGCTGAGGAACGGAAGCGACGTGAGTTACAATTACAGTTCTCCTAGGACACCTCCCACGAGAGATTTTTCCAGGTCTACGCGGAGAAAGACGTCGTTCGGCCGGCTGCTGATCCAGTGAGTAATTAAGATAGCTCGTTAAGGATCGTGCCGATTGCCGCTGTTTATTAAGAGCACGATTTTTAGGCCCATCTGGGCTTTGGACAATTTACAATTGCACGAGAGATCCCGGGATTACACTTTAAGGCTAAAACGTTGTCTCAGAAAGATGACAAGATCAACGGATCTTGCTTCACCATAAGTACACATACTCTTATGCGACATCCTAACAGCGCGTTGACTTCGAAGTTTCAATATACGCCATTTTTCTATTATTTCTTTTTTCTACAATTATGCACCGTTGCCAATTGGAATTGCCGTTACCATTCGCTGTTCATTGGTTACTTCAGAAGCTAAA